TGATTGTATACATACTTATATTTCTTCCATGTGGAATGTTTTTATTGCCTTTTAATAAATACTACACTATGAATCGCTTTCTGAGCTCTGTGTGGTGAGCTTCTTCCCTAGGAAGTATTTTGCTCTGAGCTAAGCAGAGCTCTATCCTAAGTTTAGCTCTGCTTTGGTAGCTCAGCTCTGGCTCTACTACATCTTAAAAATGTGATCAGTTCTTCAGACAACTGAGACAGCTCCAAGCTCTGAACCCTTGATAACTGTACTTGGATCGCTGGGTCCTACTTAGGTACATAGGATGAAGCATATAGTACCTGCAAGATCTGGAATCAAAACAGCAGACAGGATTATAGTCCACAGCAGACACTTAGCAAGATTCTCAATTAGTAGGCAGCAAGTAGACCATGGTCAGCAACAGCAGACACTCAGCAAGATACTTAGTAGACAGATTCCGAATCAGAAGACAAACTAGGTCAGCAGCAGAACATAGGCAGGTAATCAGATTAGGATTTATGTTTTTTTCTCCCATAAAATGAATTTATATTTCTCTGCCATCTCCCAAAACTGTTATGGATGCTTCCACCCTTTCCCCCACAACACACAGATACACACAGGATCTACAGAAATGTTTCAATAGGGAGCAGATCAATACTGTACTGATACAACCTGAAACATCCGCAAACAAACAATCAGTACAACCAGAAATATATTGGAAAAAAAAAAAAAAAAATCAGCATTATAATAACAGAAACATGTCCATGGATACATTATCAGTCCTTTACTGACACAATAGAAAGCATGTCCACAAAGACAGAATTAGTACTGTACTGACCAGGGCAGACTGACCATTCGAGCATTCGGGCACTGCCCGAGGGCCCAGAGTCAGTAGGGGGCCCCATGAAATGCCCCTGGTACTTTTTATAGGCTTTTTTGGGTGTGCTTTGAGTGTGGGCAAGAACAAAGGGGCCCCATGATCCCCTATTGCCCGGGGGCCCCATGAGTTGTCAGTCCGCCCCTGGTACTGACATAATTAGAAGCATGTGTGGGCAGCACAGTGGCTAAGTGGTTAACACTTCTGCCTGGCAGCACTAGGGTCATTGGTTGGAATCACAAAAATGACACTACCTACGGTGAGTTTGCATGTTTTCCCTGTGCCTGTGTGGGTTTCCTTTGGGTACTTCGGTTTCCTCCCTACACTCCAAATAAATGCCTGATAGGTTAAATTGGCTTCTGTCTAAATTGGCCTTAGCATATGTATGAATGTGAGTTAGTGACCTTAGATTGTAAGCTCCTTGAGGGCAGGGACTGATGTGAGTAGATAATATGAATGTAAAGTGCTGCGTAAATGGATGGTGCTATATATGTACCTGTAATAAATAAATAAAATAAATGTCGACATTGATACACTCAATATCAGATACAAACACCCAAAACCATGTCCATGGTGACCCAGTAAACACCATACTGACAAAATCATAAACTTTTAATAATTTTAAAAAGCTTTGACTATAAAATTAGAGTATCATGTATATTACTTAACTACTCTAGTCTATTCAACATCTTATGCAATGACCTGGTGTTCTTACTCGAATAAAAAGGACTGCACTCAGTGTTGGACAAATGTTTGTACTTTAATGCACCAGGAAGCAAACAGAAAAAAAACACAATATGGAGTATTGGTTTGAATAGTAGAAACTAAGAACAGGAAAGTCCCTGGGTTGTGGACATATTTGTACTGAGTATAAAAAAGTGGCACTTTCCATAAATATTTCTGTTTATCATCATACCGAGGAACTTGTTGAAATGAGTGAGCCAGAGATTGTGCTTAGGACAGAGTGAAGGATGTAACTTAGGATAGAGTGAAGCTTTTGGATCCTGGAACTTGAGCTGACATTCTGCTGCTGCTGATTTTTAGTGCCACTTAATCTAATTATCATACATTTAATGTAACATAGGCCCGTATTAAATTTGTTTTGTAATAGCAAAACCAAGGACTAAATTGGTGGTAATAGAAAGATATTTGAAATCAGCAATCCACACCTCCAGCTATAGTTAAGTAGAATATTCCTAGTAGGAACCCAATCCCACTTGGTGGCAGGGGTGAGAAATAATACTCCCTTCCTGACTGATTATAAATTAGTTAATGCTAGTAAGCTCCTCCCATTTATTTGCCCAGATCAAGGGGCCATTAAAGCATATTTTAGGAAGGCACAAATCCATTTGCTTTCATAAAATAAAACAAATAGAAACAAACATTATAAAATAATTTCTAATAGAGAATAGTGAGTTTTAAAAGGGGTCAAGATATCCCATACGTTTAGGCACAAAAGTGATCCCAGAGTGCTAATGAAGAAACTATGAAAATATAATTTTTTTCTTTTCTATGTAATAAAAGCTATAAGTGAGCAGAGCTCCTGTGAAACATACTTGAGCTGGAGCATAGTTTCAGGAGCAGCTCTAGAGTCAACACTGGGGAACAAGGAGCAGCTTTGGAGTCAAAGACAGAGTTTCTGGAGCTGGAGAAAAGAGCTTGCTCAGGCGCAGGAGAAAGTCTGCAGCTGGAGCCACTCCAGAGCTAAATATGGTAAACATGGAGCACTGCAAATCCCAAAGTTTCCAGATATGCAAATCCCAAAGTTTCCAGATATGCAAATCCAACTGCGTTGAAAACATATTCCTAAATCACAATAAATGTATATATAAACATGAAATAGAAGAATATTCACAGTCATGTTCTGTGTGAACAATTACTGTTGTAAATCACAAGTGTTCAGTTTGGCAAGACAAGTTGAATAGGCCGCAAAAGTTTTCAGAGATCTATTTGGACTCTAAAAATACAAACAAAAACACAGCTAATTCATTTGAGTATGCATAGTGCTTGAAAACCAGCATCCTAGTGTCACCTACACCATTTATTTAGCATCTATTTTTAACATATTTTTAATGTCTCTATTATAAAGCTACTAACCAAATACATGTCAGTGTGTTCCTCATTAAATGGACAACTAGAAATATATAGTTGATTTAAGCAGCATTTGTGAGTTAATATGTTCACTGCTAACTGAAAGAGATGTCAAAAAATGGTAAATATTTAAAGTACTTATCCCACTGTACTGAGTTTATTTGACATTGAGAAATTCAGGGGGGAACTCTAGGACACCAAGTAAAAACACATTAGCTACAGCCCATAGATTTTTCCATGCTGAATAATGTGCACATTAAGAAAAACAAGTCCTCTGGCACATGGCTGTCTATGACTACAGCTTGGTTTTAAGTATAAACAAGTCAGGCACAAATTGCTGCACTGTATCAAAAGTATATATATCAAAAGTATATATATATATATATATATATATATATACACACACACATATACATACACACAGTTGTGTTCAAAATAATAGCAGTGTGTTGAAAAAAAGTGAATAAAGCTCAAAATCCTTCTAATAGCTTTTATTTCCATACACACAAATGCATTGGGAATACTACATATTCTGTTCCAAATCAAAACATGAAGAAAAATATATCAAATTTGTGTTGTTCCTCTAAAAAAAAATTGAAGAAAAGTGAATATTAGACAGTTCAAAAAAATAACAGTGTTTGTATTCTTTTTTACAAACTCAAACATTCACTATATAAACTGAAAAATGTTTGAAGATTTTGCTTTCCTTTGAATCCCTTAATTAATATTTAGTTGTATAACCACTGTTTCTGAGAACTGCTGTACATCTGTGTTGCATGGAGTCAACCAACTTCTGGCACCTGTGAACAGGTATTCCAGCCCAGGATGATTGGACTACATTCCACAGTTCTTCTCTATTTCTTGGTTTTACCTCAGAAACTGCATTTTTGATGTCACCCATCAAGTTTTCTATTGGATTAAGATCCGGGGATTGGGCTGGCCACTCCATAACGTCAATCTTGTTGGTCTGGAACCAAGATGTTGCACGTTTACTGGTGTGTTTGGGGTCGTTGTCTTGTTGGAACACCCATTTTAAGGGCATTTCCTCTTCAGCATAAAGCAGCATGACCTCTTCGAGTATTCTGATGTATTCAAACTGATCCATGATCCCTGGTATGCGATAAACAGGCCCAACACCATAGTATGAGAAACATCCCCATATCATGATGCTTGCGCAACCATGCTTCACTGTCTTCACAGTGTACTGTGGCTTGAATTCAGTGTTTGGGGATCATCTGACAAACTGTCTCTGGCCACTAGACCCAAAAAGAATAATCTTACTTTCATCAGTCCACAAAATGTTGCACCATTTCTCTTTAGGCCAGTCAATTTGCTCTTTGGCAAATTGTAACTTCTTCAGCACGTCTTTTTTTCAACAGAGGAACTTTGTGGGGGCTTCTTGCAGATAGCTTGGCTTCACATAGGCGTCTTCTAATTGTAACAGTACTCACAGGTAACTTTACACCTTCTTTGATCTTCCTGGAGCTGATTGTTGGCTGAGTCCTTGCCATTTTGGCTATTCTTCTATCCATTCCAACGGTAGTTTTTCACTTTCTTCCACGTTTTTCAGGTTTTGGTTGCCATTTTAAAGCATTTGCGATCATTTTAGCTGAGCAGCCTATTATTTTCTGCACTTCTTCATATGTTTTCCCCTCTCCAATCAACTTTTTAATCAAGGTACGCTGTTCTTCTGAACAATGTCTGGAACGACCCATTTTCCTCAGAATTTCAGAGAGAAATGTACAATGTACTGTAACCAGCATGTACAACATTTGCTGCCTTCCTTCCTTAACCACTTGCCTACAGGGCACTTATACCCCCTTCCTGCCCAGGCCAATTTCCATCTTTCAGCGCTGTCACATTTTGAATGACAATTGCGCAGTCATGCAACCCTGTACCCATATGAAATTTTTATAATTTTTTTTTGAGACAGATAGAGCTTTCTTTTGATGGTATTTAATCACCTCTGGGATTTTTATTTTTTCTTAAACAAACCAAAAACCACTGAAAATTTGGAAAAAAAAACATTTTTTCTTAGTTTTTGTTATACATTTTTGTAAATAAGTGATTTTTCTCCTTCACTGATGTGCGCTAATGAGGCTGCAGTGATGGGCACTGATAGGTGGCACTGATGAGCACTGATGAGGAGGCACTGGTAGGTGGCACTGATGGGCATTGACAGGCATCACTGATGGGCACTGAAAGGCAGCACTGATACATGACACTGATATATGGCACTGATAGGCGGCACTGATAGGTAGCACTGACTGGCGCTAATAGGCGGCACTGACTGGCACTGTTAGGTGCCACTGAAAGGCACTGTTAGGCAGCACTGACTGGCACTGTTAGGAAGCACTGACTGGCACTGATAGGCGACACTGATGCGCACTGATAGGCGACACTGATGCGCACTGATAGGTGGCACTGATTGGCAGCACTGATAGGTGGCACTGATTGGCATTGATAGGTGGCACTGACTGGCACTGATGGGTGACATTGAAAGGAAGCTCAGATGGGCACTGATATGTGGCATTGATGTGCACTGGTATGCACTGATATGTGGCACTGATGGGCACTGGCACAGGGCACTGATGAGCACTGACTGCTGGCACTGATGGACACTGACAGGTGGCACTTCTGGGGCCACACTGATCATCAGGGCACACTGATCATCAGTGCCCTGATGATCAGGGTACATGTCCCCTCCGTGGAAAGCAGATTACCGGCTCTCCTCTCGAGCTGTCAGCGTGACAGCTCAAGAGGAGGGAAATGCCGATAACCGGCATTTTTTTTTTCGTGTTTACATGTGATCAGCTGTGATTGGACACAGCTGATCACATGACTGAGCCGACATCTTCGGCTCTTTCCATGATCCGCTGTGTCCGAGGGACACAGCGCACCGGCGATCGCTGCGCTGTGTGCTACCTGAGACGCGCATGCGCGGTGAGAATGGAAGGACGTCATATGACGTCCTATCAGAGCGAGAGAAACCACCTTGCACCCGTCATTGTACTATATGGCGGGCGGAAGGTGGTCAAATAAGGGCATTAATCGCCACCTGTTTTTTTCAAAGAATGAATGACCTCACTAATAGAACTCCACACTGCTGTTATTTTGAACATGCCCATTTCAATTAGGGATTCAATTACACGGAATCAGCAGCATGCATGTCATGATTGTTGGGTCTGTTGGATTTCTATTACTCTACTACACCTGCTAGTAAATTATTTGCCATGTAGAAATATCATTTCTACCAAAAACAGTGATTGATCAGGTTAGTGATGTCTGACTGCTATTATTTTGAACACAGCTGTGTGTATATATATATATATATATATATATATATATATATATACTGTAACGGGGTTAGCACGGCAGCGGGTGTGTGTGACCCCCTGGATGGGTGCACAACACAAAAAGACAGGCACAGCACAACAACAGTGGAGGTGAAAACAAACAGGTGCAATTTATTTACAATATTTACAGAAAAATGGTAAAACCAAAAAAAAACTAAAATAAATCCTGGCCAACTTGGCTACTTACTGCAACAACAGCTTTCCCTAGCTACCCACTAGGTACAAACCTGCTGCTATACCTAGTTGCTAGTACTTGGAGGCTAGCCACACAGGCTTTGGTCTCTCTGCACACAGATAAGAGGTCAGCTCCCCAGACAGTTCAGGCACAGATCTGGTTCCAGGTTGGAGCAACCCCCTAAGCACTCTGGGAAGTTTTATACAGGTCTTAATGAGCCCACTACCTTCAGCTGGGCTCATCCCCTCCGTGCAGAAGGACTCTCAGCACTTCCCTCTATGGAACAAATCCCCATAAAGCCTGAACCTCGGACAAATGTATCGTCCATCCAGGACGCAACCAGGCGATTTCACCTGCCTACTGTCACATACCCCCCCTCTTGTTTCAACCTTGGGTTGTAACACCAGTAGCCAGGCAGGCATGTACCCGGGATAAAGCATCCACATTTCCCATCTGAACACCATGCTTCACCGTGAAGGTAAATTCCTGTAGGGCCAGAAACCAGCTATTTATCCTTCTATTGGTCTCCTTATTTTGAGCCATCCATTTCAAGGCAGCGTGATCTGTGATCAGGTCAAAATGTCTGCCCAGCAGATAGTACCGAAGGAATCTAGGGCCCACTTTACCGCTAAACACTCCTTCTCAATCGTGGCGTAATTTTCCTCGTGAGACTTTAGCTTTCGGCTGAGATAGATTACTGGGTGCTCCTCCCCCTGCCAAACCTGGGACAGCACTGCTCCTAAGCCCAACATTGGATGCATCCATCTGGACCACAACGTCTTTTGAGAAGTCTGGTGAGTATAGGACTGTCTGGTCTGGCTACATAAGGCCCTTTTTAAAGACTGGAAGGCTGCTTCAGCGTCAGGGGACCACTTAACCATGACCGACTCCTTTTCCTTTTGTCAGGTTGGTTAGGGGTACTGCCATAGAAGCAAATGGGGAATGAATCGCCGATAGTAGCCAGCAATTCCTAGAAAAGCCCGTACCTGCTTCTTGTTATTTGGGCGTGGCCAATTCTGCATTGCTTCCACTTGTTTATCTGAGGTTTTATTACCCCTCTCCCAATAGTGTACCCAAGGTACCTGGCCTCCTCCTGTCCAATCATACACTTCTTTGGGTTGGCCATAAACCCAGCTTTCCGTATTGAGTCTAGCACAGCCTGAACTTTTGGCAAATGTGAGGCCCAATCTGCGCTATGGACAATCACATCGTCCAAGTACGCTGCAGCATACTTCTGATGGGGACGAATAATCTGATCCATTTTGCGCTGAAAGGTGGCCGGTGCATTCTGTAACCCGAACGGCATTCTTTTTATATACTGGAATGACCCTTCTGGGGTTACAAATGCAGTCTTCTCCTTTTGCTGACTTAGCTAGGGGATTTGCCAATAACCTTTTGTCAAGTCTAGCGTTGTCATGTACTGGGCTGCTCCCAGTCGGTCGATTAGTTCATCTATCCTTGGCATGGGGTAGGTGTCAAATTTTTGTAACTTTATTCAACTGCCGAAAGTCGTTACAAAACCGCCAGCTCCCATCTGGTTTGGGCACCAACACTATGGGGCTGGACCAGTCACTTTTGGGACTCCTCTATCACCCCCAAATCTAGCATTCTCTGTACTTCCCCACGTATGCCTCCCACCGGCCTCTGGGATTCTATAGGGTTTCAGTTTTACCCGTTCACCCGGTGGGGTGATAATGTCATGCTCCACCCCCGAGGTTTGTCCCGGCAGCTCAGAAAAAACACCTGTGTAGCGGAGCACAAACTCTTTAGCCTCCTGTTTTTGAGTTGTAGACAGCGTGACTGCTATCCCAACCTCCGGAACCAAACAGTTAAGATGGCGCTGGTGACAAAACCTCAGCAACTAGGGATTTCCCTGTCCCTCCAGGCCTTTAACAGATTGATGTGGTAGATCTGCTCAGGTTTCCGCCTTCCTGGTTGTCTGACCCTGTAATTCACCTCACTCACTCGTCTCAATCACCTTATATGGGCCATGCCATTTGGCCAGGAATTTGCTTTCAACCGTAGGGATTTAGCAGTAGCACTCTATCTCCTTCAGCAAACGACCTGGTCTGGGCCCCCCGATTGTACACCCTCTGCTGCGCTAACTGTGCTTGGGCCAAATGTTCCTTTACGATAGGCATGACCTGGGCAATTCTATCTTGCATTTGGGCGACGTGCTCAAATCACACTCCGGTGGGGAGAACTCTCACTTTCCCAAGTTTCCTTGGCGATATCTAAATTCCCCCTTGGGTGTCTCCCATAGAGCAACTCAAATGGTGAAAACCCTGTAGAGGACTGGGGTACCTCCCGGATGGCAAACATCAATAGGGTACTAAATAATCCCAACCCTTTCCATCCTTATCTACCACCTTCCTTAGCATTTTTGTTTTCAGGGTTTTGTTAAACCTTTCCACCAACCCGTCAGTTTTGGGGATGATACACAGAGGTGCGCAACTGTTTTACCTTTGAACAGTTGAGCACAGCTCTTTCATCACCCGGGACATAAAGGGGGTTTCCCTGGTCTGTAAGCAGTTCCTTCGAAATACCCAATCGGGTGAACACGAGGAATAGCTCCTTAGCTATTGTCTTGGCAGAGGTATTTCGGAGTGGGAATTGCTTCTGGATAGCGGGTGGCATAGTCGAGTATGACCAACATGTACTGATGCCCCCTAGCGGATTTCACCAGCGGACCTACCAAAATCCATGGCAATCCTTTCAAAGGGGCACCTCAATGATGGGAAGAGTACCAGTGGACTACGGAAATGGGGCATAGGGGGCTGACTTCTGACACACAGGGCAAGAGGAAACAGTAATTTTTTACCTCCTTAATGACCCCAGGCCAATAGAAACCGCTGCAATACTCTCCTCGTGTTTTTTCTCCGCCCCCAAATGACCCCCAAGCCGATGTGTCCATGGGCCAACCAATAACACCAACTTCCTGTAAGGTCTGGGCACCACCAGTTGCTCAATGGTGTCCTCTGCCCCTTGAGCAACTCGATAGAGTAGGTCCCTTTTCCACAAGGAAGTATGGACAAGCAGCAATGTTTTCTCAGGGCTCACTAGTTTTCGCCATCTACTTTTACTACATTTTCCCGTGCTTTTATCAGCGTGGGGTCCTTTCAGCTGTTCGGACTGGCAAAATTTTCCCTAATGCACCTCTAAGTCCGAGAACTCCACAACCGGCAGATTTTCATCTGAAAAGGCGGGCTCCTCCCCAGTTCCTTGGTCTCCCCAGCGAGTACCGACAAGGGGAACTTGGGAGAGACCTCACCACACTCAGACGCTTTCTGGGCATTCCCCTTCCTGGTTTCTGCAGGGGGAGACAGTGGGGGTCAGGACAATACCAGAGTTCCCAGAATTTTGGAAAATCCCGTCCCACAATGGCATCATGTGGTAAGTGAGGCACCAATCCTACCTGATGAGACAGGTTACCTTTGGGGTCTCAAAAAACACAGTAGCCACGGGATACTCCCTAGTGTCCCCATGCACACACATCACCGCCACCTTTCATACCCCGAGACCTTTGTAGTGACCATCTCCTCTCTCTATCAAGGTTACCAGGCTACCAGAATCCAGCAACCCCACCACATTATTCCATTAACAGTCATCTTGCACAAATGTTTCTCAGTGCCCGGGCTGGCCGTGCATACCAACTGTCGCAAACAGCGACTGACATCTACTGCTCAGAAAGTCACACTGCATAGGCTCATCCACCACTGGGCCAATTAGCTGCAATATGTCCCTCTTGCCGGCAGCTGTAACAAATAATTTTTTTCCCCGCATCCTCCACCATATGTAACGTGGTTAGCTCGGCAGCGGGTGTATGTGACCCCCTGGGTGGGTGCACAACACAAAAAGACAGGCACAGCACAACAACAGTGGAGGTGAAAACAAACAGGTGCAATTTATTCACAATATTTACAGAAAAATGGTAAAACCAAAAAAAAACCAACCCATCAAAATAAATCCTGGCCAACTTGGCTACTTACTGCAACAACAGCTTTCCTAGCTACCCACTAGGTACAGCCTGCTGCTATACCTAGTTGCTAGTACTTGGAGGCTAGCCACACAGGCTTTGGTCTCTCTGCACACAGATAAGAGG